GGAGGAGTGGGGAATCAAACCCGGTTCTCCCAGATTAGAGTCCGTGCACTTAACCACTACACCAAACTGGCTGTAAGCAGAGGCAATGGGAAGAAAATAAAATGATAGGATCACTTTTGATAGCTAGAAGGTAACTGAAATAAACAATCAGGGTTTGATCTCATAAACCCAGTCCTCATAGAGGCCAGCTCTCTATTGTGCAGGAAGCCCCAAACACGTGGAAGTAGACATGGGGTGGGGGAGAGAAGACGAATCCCCACTCTGCTGTGGAAGTGCCAGGTTCCCAGGCAATCCACTCTCATACCACAATTAGTTGAAGAGAATTTTATTGGAAAGAGATTTGGAAGTTGCAAGGATAAGATCCTTGCTAAGACTAAGGCACAAAGCGAAATAATCTCAAGGTATAGCCAAACCCCAAATTCCAGTCAATCAACATTCACACACACCCCTTTGCTGGCTATTCTAACCCCAGCCCTAACAGATAGATCAGTTAGCCTGCTGCGAAAGTCTTTCCCTGAGGTGCGCTTGTTATGGGGAAAGAAGTTACAAGGCAAGCAGCTAGTCTACTCCCCCATTCGCACGTCCGGGCGTTCACACCTTCCCCCACCCTGCAGGAATGACATGGCAGCGAGGGCATCGATAAGCAGAGGAACAGAAACCAGATGGAGGCCATAAAGCACAATGCACATCAGGAAAGCCATGAACCAGCCCGAGTCTGACCTGCTGGGTGACCTTGGGCCAGTTACACACTCTTAGCTTAACCTGAAATGGAGGAGTGGGGAATGTGGTTGTAAGATGCATTTGTTCCTACTGGGAAGAGAAGTAGGACATAAATGAAACAAAGAAATACACGCAATCCAGAACCTCGGCAGCCATTTAGTTTCTGTGAAAGGGAGAATCAGGGCTGCACTTACCGGTGACTGAACGGCCTTCTGTGCAGGCACACATTGGGACCTCGCGTGTGCAGGACAGCCGCAGAAAAGACTTCCAAGGCTCTCTAGTAGTCCAGGGGCACCCCTCCTCCCTCTGGCGCTTTCCTGACAAAACCGTCATGTGGCCAGGAGGGAGGGCGCTGTGCCCTCTGTTCGCTCCATGCTGCTGGTGGAGACCCCAAGCAACCAAGGCTCCAGGGAGTCCACAGTGGGGCAGGAGAGAGGGATGGGTGTGTCCGCACAGAAAGACCACTCAGTGGGCAACAGTTGCAGGTAAGTGCCAGGTTCCTGGTTCTCAACACCAGTCACTTCGAAGAAAGCTAACTTTATTGAGAGATCGAGAGTTACCATACTGGACACAAGCTATTGTTAGGACTGAAGATGAACGCACCAAGGTTGTTGATATATTGTGTTCAAATAAAAGCACTAAAGAGCAGGACCCAATCACCTCACGGTATGTGCCCACCAGAAGTAACAGTCAACTACCCCCCCCACTAAGCACGTACCTCCCGCCAGAACTAACAGTTGCCCGCCCACCCCCATAGACACGTAGCTTCTACATAGCAAGGAAAACAGAATAACAGACATTTGAGAAGCCCCACTAAGGTGACAAGCCTCTGGCACATCGAAGAGAGAGGAACCTCCTCTCTCAATGGCAGGCGAGCTGTAAAATGCAGAGGGAGCCCGACAGGAAGTGCAACCCTGTTTTTACCATCGTGGCTTCTGTGCAGTCCCACAGATGAGCAAGTTCACTGAGTGAAGGCAGGTGGATGTGAAGCTCTCGGAGGAAGAGACCACTGGAGGACCACCTTCCCAACAGCTCTTTAGCATCCCATATTGACGTTCACCCAGAACTGCTTTATGAAGGAGAGGGGAGCTCCGTACCAGTGTCCCAACTGAAGTACATTCAGGAATGTTAAAGAAAAACAGCACTCTGGTAGAGAGCGAGAGAGAGCGAGAGCGAGAGAGCTGGCATATATAAAGTGGCATTGAGCAGTTATACACTCAAGACAGAGTGTGGTAGCCTCTACCAATCTACAGGGGTAGATTGTATGAAGATGCTGACCAGTCCTCCTTGGTGCCTGAAAGGCCAATACGAAGCAGCATTATGTGCCGAGCAGACAACCCCCACCCCCACGTCACGTTCAGGGAACGAGCGGAGTGCACACAGACGTCTGGTGTCAGACACAGTGTACGGACAGTGTGTTACGAGACAGGAGGACTGAGAGGCGATCTCTCACAGGGGATCCCGGCCAGGGCATCGGACTCCCAAACCCTGTGCAGCTCCATATGGACGGAGGAGGGGGCACCGGCCAGAACACACCCTGCCCTCATTGCCACTTGGAAGGGCACCTGAGACTTCTGCTGCAATGCAGGAAAGGAGCTGATCAAAGCTACCAAAGAGCTGTCCGTGGACCTGCACCATAACAAGGAAAGCAGGCCTGATGTGGCTAAGGAGAGGATGGGCAGTATGCCCCATAAATGGACCTTGGGCAGCTTGCAGATATCAAAACAGATTACCTTGCCAAGGGATAATGAGCAGGGGTCATTTCGTAGAAAAAGAGCTGCAGGGGCTCATTAGCATAGCTAACAGGCTATTAGCATAATAGCGCATTAGCATATACCACACCCGACATCACCGGAAGTGATGTCAGAAGGGGAAGCAAAAGGGGGGGGGAGGCATCTTCAAAAGCCTAACCTCCCCTTCCCCAGCCGGTCTGCCAAGGTGGGCTGGGGGGGGAAGTGAAGAGAGAAGGGGGTTTAAAGTTCAAACCCCTTCCCTCTGGAGTCACGCTGCAGTGGTGGTGTGATCTTCCCATTATATTCTATGGGGCCATAGAATACAATGGAAAGATCATGCTGCCGCTGCGGAGGAAAGGAGCACAGGGGGGGGGCGGGGGGAAGGGGGGGGGGGGGGGGGGGGGGGGAGCTGGGGGGGCTTGCCGCCACCGCCATTTGTGCCTCTGCTCCTGGGCTGCCGGAGTGGTGCTGCGGCTCGCTCCGGCCCCAAATGACCCCTAATTTTGAGCATTAGCCAGTGACAAGGGGGCCCTGTCAGAAAAGGAGCGAAAAGGAAAAGGGAGTCCCACTGCGCAGCAAGGCCGATGAGACTCTCTGGGAGTCGGCCCCCGTTAGCTGAGGAAAACATAACTGCATGATTCCATGACAATGTGGAGCATTTGCACTTTCTCTTTTAAAGAATAGTAAGATACTTCTAGTGGTCTTGGTGAAATCAGTGGTATGAAAGACGGATTCTGCAGAAGACCCAGACCTAGTGGGAGACACGTGCTCACAGCAGGGTCCCCACTCCATAGGGGAGGCATCTGAGATGGCACTGACTTCCAAAGGCTCAGAGTCAAAAGGAGGGCTATGCGAGTGAGCCCCCGTCTCTAGTTCCAGCTCCTGCCAACCTAGCAGTTCGAAAGCAAGAAATTGCAAGTAGATAAATAGGTACCACTTCGGTGGGAAGGCAACAGCGTTCTGTGCGTTTCGGTGTTTAGTCCTGCCGGCCACATGACCATGGAAACGTCTTCGGACAGCGCTGGCTCTTCGGCTTTGAAACGGAGATGAGCACCGCCACTCCCTAGAGTCGGACTCGACTGGCTTTCGAGCAAGGGAACCTTTACCTTTTAATGTTTACAGTAGCCAAGTGGCCTTTACAAAGGGATATTAGACCAACAAGAACCCAATGCCTGAATAGTGTTGAATATATAATTATATCTAATTAAGGGAGAGAAGTTCTAACTTCTGTTCCACATGTGTAATCACTAAGATTAACATTCCATTATCACGCATATAAAAGTGGGGGTGAAGTATCCTTTTACTAGTTTCATCAACATGGGGGGATATTACCCCCTGCTTCTGTTACAAGGGTTTGCTGCTACACTGCTATTAACGATGCCTAAGTTGACAAACAGAATAAGGATCAGGAGTTGAGACCAAAACTGAGAAATGGGGGGTGGGGGTTTAGAAAGGGAGAGAGCGAAATGAAGACATATCACGAGAGCAAAATGGAGAAAAGC